AAGAGGTCTCACTTCACAAGCCAGCGATAAGAACTGTGAAGGCGGTCAGCTCCGGGAAAGATTGCTGTAAGATTGATTTAGCCGGTTCCGGAAGGTATTGGAAGGTATTGGGTAATATTTATGACGGGCGATATGCGACGCGTGATACGTTTGATAAGTTAGGTTGACTAACCTGTCGGAGCACCGGAGCAATTCCTCACTTCCTCCGTAGATACTCCGTACCTACATCTTTCCCCTCCACCCCCCTCCGCCCCAGGCGCCGCTGCATTTGATCTTGGCCCATCCCTGCTGGTTCCTGTCAGTAAGGGATGGATACGATACAGTCATAAACACTGAATTAACTGAGGGTGACCTAATCGGACACTGACCTCACGCAATGCTGCCGTATGGTCATGGACACACTCAGGCACCTTGGTCTTGTATGTTATTTGTCGGACTCTGACTTAGAGCTTCGGATGTCGGAGAAAATTAGTCTTAGTTGAGACGTAAGCGTGGAAAAATGCGGACGGCTTCCCAGGCATAGAGGATTTCGCCCCCTTGGCCTAGCCGGTTATGCTGTGGCTACTTCGTATCTCATGCATCATGTCTCACACACCATCCTGCCTTCCTACTTCCCATTCCGGGCATCTCCGTTGCCTCCTGGGCACGGAGACCGCTTCTTCGGTGCATATTCGCCAAGTGTTTCTGCCCCCCTTGGACTAGCCCGTGTTATACTTGTGATTAGAAGGTCGATGTCCGATGCTTCGATTTCTGGCTCAAGTCGCGGGGAACGCAGTCTGTTACGGGTGGGCAGGGGTGCCATTCGGTAATCGTCGCCTACGCACGGAGGATGATAACAACAACCTGAACCTGGGCCAATTGGCTGGGCTCGCGATAACGACTTCAGGCTCATCTACACGTGGGTGGCCACTTCGGCCATAATGAAGGCGCATGGTGCTCGATATTAGCGTGCTGGGGTCGGAAGCAATGAGCTGCTGATCTGGTCGGCAAAATAATGTCCCTATGCTGTGGTATCGGTGGCGCAAGCTCGCTTGCAGGACGTTCATCTCTCCCGTCTTCGATCCCGCCCGCTTGGCATCTGTGGCGGCCTGCCTCTGAGACGGCATACACACGTGTGTATGGTAACGATGCTAGGTGCTCTGAGCGATCGGGTCTAGGCTATCGTCCCTGCGGCAGGCCAGGCTGACCCATATGGCTCGGTCGGTTGCAGGAGGCCGTCGTTGCTTAGTGCCCATTCAAAGTCTGCAAGGAACTGTTCGTCGAACAACACGGGATCATGTCGGTCCACAAGACCGCAGGGAGCATTGGACGGTCCGTTTATCTGGGTACTAGTAGAGTCGGCTGTTATCTCCGAGTCAGTGGGCAGGTTGCCAATAGAATCGCGGGGGAAGCGACACACCTCCTTCAGCCACAGTCGCTTGGGCTGCACTAGAAGGATAGAACTGTGGCTCAAATTCATCGCGCCACCACCAGATCGTATCGATAACAGGGCTGAGGACGAGGCGGCTGCGGATGCGGAGTGCGATGAATCCGGTCCCATCGGCTTTTCGGAAAACCTTGGAGCTGTTCCAGAGCTGGTTCATGACTATGGCGATTTTCGACGCAGTATCATGAACATCCACTGACATGTGTCTAGCCATGTTTATCGCACTGAAGAGGGCCTTCTTTCCTCTTGCAATGTCTAGATCAGTATCGTTGGAGCATTTGAGGATTCGCAGGAGCGCCGATGCCGGAAGAAGAAGCCCATAGGTCATCTGCATTGGAGCACTAGCAAGGTTGGCCATGTTTTGCCCAAGTTCCTGGATACAGTCGATAGTCCTACATGCCGTGGTCGCAAGTCGTGTGAGACAGCCAGATGTATATATGGTCTGATTCTTAAAAAGATGGAACATCTGGACGCACAAGCGACACATGGTTGTGTGAAATCGATCGTTCGCTGCCTAGCGTCAGTCTTGAGCCAGCATGTTAAGGTCTGAACATGTTACCTGAGTTTGCAAGGGCCTCGAGCTCGGTTGCCTGGCGCTCGAACGTGCGCAAGAGAATATCAAACGACTTTTCCTGCTCAGGTAACATGGTTCGAACCCCAAACTCCAATACGGCTGCGCTGCATCGGGCGATCAGCTCTAGGCATCTGAGTTCCAGTGCCAGAGATGGGGCAATTTTCTGAGATAAAACTTGTTGCTGACCCAGGTCTTGCTGCAAGTCTACCATTGACCGAGGGCATTGTCCTTTTGTTACGCACGCACTACCAATGATCAGAATTCCGTCTGGAGATCCGCGGAGTAGCTTACCGCTGATATACGATGACACAGCGTGCCCACAGCTCGGCCCGTCTGGCCATGTCTGCTTCCGATGGGGCAGGTATCTTCCTCTTGGCAAATTCATGACTCGACAAAGGGATGTGCAATCCGTTCTGCATTGCAATGTGCAGGAGCATGCCGCTGAGGGGAAACATCACATCTGTTTTATTGGTTTCCTTCGGAAAGGGCCAAGTCAGGACCAGCAACAGCCCTTGAATGGTGTGCCAAGCGGGAGCGGTCGACGTGACTGAGAGCAAGGCCATCTCGGTGATGCTTGGTGAGACGGCCATGAGCAGCGTGGGGTTCTCGGTGTATGATCTCGACGCAACACCGATTATGGCCCAGAAAAGGAAATTCGACTGGGCGTGGTAGGCATTCGGGGTGGTTTGAGGGTCTAAGATGAGCAAAAAGCTCGCGTAGTCTCGGAAGAACCTATTTTCAATCAGATTCGAGCATTACTATGCTATCGTGATTGGGCCACGTACAGCCGGAAAAGTTCGTCGATTTCAGACCCTGTTAGTTTGACAGTCTTCAAGGTGCGCGGCTCTGTAGGGTCGGACACTTCGGCTGGCACCACCTGCATTTGGGGATAGGACAAAGCCGGACTCATTTGAGGTGTGAGCTGGGAGTGATAAGGGTTTGAGGTGGTGTGTGGTTGAGGAGGAAGATTCAGGTGCCCTGCGGCCGGTGTGGAATGTACTCCCATCTCCGCCGCTGCTGTCAACATGGCGATGGGAGACTGCTGCAGCGATTCAGAACGGTCGCATCTCAACTTCCGGCGCAATTCGTCGGTTTCCTGTTCAAGCTCGGAGAGGCGTCTATACGAGCGGTAAGAGCTTGGTCGTTCTGTTTCAGCAACGAGCAACGTACTGGCGCTTGTGTTCTCTGCGAAATGGATCCGAGATGACGCAACGGGTTTTCATCCTGATGCAGCGGGAGCATGGAAGATCGGGGTTCATGTAAGCGTCACATTTTGCCTGTTGCAGAAGTATGAGCAGATCGCGTGGGAACGATGGAGCGACCATACCTTCTGTTGGCGACACTCGGTGCAAGCTTTTTTGGCCCGTCTGAGTGCGGGCCTGGGATTGCTGTTAGTGGAGCCAAAAGACTAGCTCAGACGTACTCACGAGCTTGATGGTGTTTCCATGACTGAAAAGACGGTCTGCTTCAGGCTGCAGAAGTTTCGCCGCGAGGTGGGATGATGGTGGTGTTGTGAACGTCGAGGATGTCGGCGGGCGAGGTTAGCCGGCGGAGCGTCCGGAGATAATGCCATGTCTAATCTCCGGGTCGTTGCAGCCCCTGAGGTATCAACCTGACGATATAACAATGAGTAGGTATTATGGGTACTACTGGCCGCTCGACCAAGTGTCGCATACGTCTAATACAAATAGGAAGGTAAGGCCGCGTGCTCTTTCTATTACCTCATATACTTGGATCGCCCCCTCCAGTCCGATCGCGAATCTAGACCATACCAGAATCAGAACCATGATCTCTAGTCACGGGTAAACTTACTGTAGCATCTATGAGGACATGCATAGTGTATGACATGGTCAATATTATATTATTCATGGATCGCGCAAGAGTAAGCAAATCATCGAGCATGGCAGCCAGATGCTATCCGGAACCGGAGATGTGAGGACTGAGGACCGGGACAGAAACTGTTTTGATTGGTTGAATGAGCCCGGTACCGGCTGTGACTGGTGCCTCAGGCCAGAGCCTGAATACTCATCCTATTAGTACGGGCCATCTATCAAGCTTGCGACAGCATGTAATAGAGGATACTTGAAGTATCAGGTATGGAAGCATGCTGAGATAGAACTCATGCTATTGACTACATGAAGGCTGAGTCCACAGTCACTGCTCATATAACAATGGGTCACTATATCCTATGTCCTCTGCATTATCGCAGTACCTTTCATAGATGAGGGAGGTTTTCGAGAGCCCGTACTCGTTGGCGCTACTCAGTATATGACACCACCAGTCATATTGGTTGACAAAGACAGTAGACCACCCATGATGTGTTCTGGCTAGACCCTAGATGGCAGTGATAATCTCACTCAGAGGTACCGACTCGACGACTATCAATCCTTCGAGCATTGGTCTCATAGAGCAACTGACCACAGAATAATCGGCCATAGCGTCTACCAAATCTTCAGTTCAACTCACCCTATAATTGGAGATCAGGACGCTTAAGGCATCCTGCTTCTTCCTGAAGCAGCACCTCCAACTCCTATCATTGACCCGCGATCAAATTCGATCTTCATCTTGTTGTAAGCAACTTCGCTTCTTACTAAAAAAGTCACACCTACAGTCACTGCATGGAGTCTTTTAGCTGAAGAATCCCAGCAGAGCTCGAGCAAACATGCAGAAACTGAATCAAACAAACAAAACTCTCTGTATAGGCTCCCTTCATGCTCATCTAACAACTTCACCAAATTATTCATCCCATCTCCCCAACCGAAACCCTCGAGCAAACGTCTTCAGCCCCAGCAAAGCCCCTCAAAGCCCTCGACCTGACGACATGGAGATAAGTATGGCCCCTACCTTTTCATCTCGGAAGCCATCTCCTCCGAGAAGACCGTACAACTATCACTTCTTTAAACCCCCCAATCCAAACCACAACCACCCACTCTTCCTACATTTATTTCTACAACCTTCCTCGACCTTCCTCATAGCCATCTTCATAGATTCCATCCTTAACCATCTCATCCTAACCATCTCATCCTCCACCGACCATCCTCGATCCCAACAACCCAAAACTCCACAACCAAAACCACAATACCATGAACCTCCCCACGTACCTCACGACATACCTCCCCATCCGGGTCACGATCCCTGCCTCCCTGTACCAAGCAGGCCGCCTCATCAACCGCCGCTACCCCTCTTGATTTCGCCGCCGCGTCCACCTGCACCTGCACCGCTCTCTCGCCCTCCTAACCTAAGGAATTCTCCTCCTGTACTACCATATCCACCTGAGTCCGTAGTTCGTATTTCGTAGTTCGTAGGTTTCCAAGCAGCAGACAAGCATCTGCATAACATAAACCCTACACTTGATTTGGCCCTATCAGATGAGCCTGGTCCCCTCCACATGACTCGGGAGTCGGGACCCTCTAGCCTAGACTGAAAGTGACGGCGGCTCAGTGACAGCAGCACCAGGAGTAGGGTATGGGGCGGGCTGGACCCATCTTGTTCAGGCACAGCGCCGCATCAGCGTTTTTCTTTTCTCCCGACATCGAGCCGAATTCTCGGTCCAGTCTGATAGCAAACGCATCTCCTCAGCCTGTTGCTAACAGCCGAGTACTCTGCGGACGTATTCCAGCTTCCAAATGCGCCGTGCAGCATTAAAGAAGGAAGGAGCCAATCAGCGACTGCAGCCACCTGCAGAGATCAATTTTCCTGTGCATCGGCCCTTGGCACCCCAGTATGCATTGCATAGCATTACAGTACACTGCACTGCACTGCATGGTCCCCAAAGTGGTACAGCCTGAGCGACCACATTGTTGCACGTTATCAAACTCGGCAACTGGTCAACCGCTCTACACCCGGTTTATGCAGCTTGCAGCTTGCAGCTCAACAAAGAGGCTGATATCCATGCCATGGACCCGCTGTAGATCCTTCCACCTCAGAATCCAATCATCGACGATCGGAGACCTGCCGAAACACGACAGAAAATAATCCAAATTCCAAATACTTGGGCGCGGAGAATGACAGCGGAGGATGAGAGGAGAGGGGGGATGGTTAGCGTGAAACCTTGACTCTTATCGCGGGGGCCACAACAGCTGCCAACCTGCGACCCATTGGCTGAGAGAGAGAGCTTTTCCTAACTAACTATGGAGCGTGACAAATCAGTGCATCAGTGCATCCGTGCAAGTGAGGCAGTGAGACCCAATTCGTATCATTCGTATCATTCGTATTTGGAATATTGATTTCTCCATACTGAGTAAGGTAAGAGTGGTCAATCCGGTTGAAAAAAGTTGCCAAGTGACGCAAGTGAAACCCCCCCCCCCCAACTAAAGTTATCGCAACCCCGCCATGTCGTCAATGAGTTGATCTGCCGAGAACAACAAAACACGAAGAGCTGCGAACTGCGAGCTGCCTACCTTATAAATACTCCACGACCTCGCAGACCCCAAAGGTCCTCATTGAGAACCTTGCTCGCCAACTCTTGTCTTTGTCGCAATCTGATCTAATCACCAATCATCACCAATCACAGCCCTCAAAATGCCTTTGACCGGTCACTGTCTGTGCAAAGCCGTCACCTACACCATCGAGGTGGAGGAGCCCGCCCTGGTCGGGTACGACCACTGCGACGATTGCCAGCGTCAGAGCGGTTCCACCTACTGTACGGTTTGCTTTTCGTGATTCAACCGAGTGCATATTGATGCTAATTTCGATAGCGCTGGTCGCGGTGGTTCCCAAGGACAAGCTCACGATCAACGGGCCGACCAAGAGCTGGGCGGGGTTGGGGTCGTCGGGTAAGGCGGTGCACCGCATCTTCTGCTCCGAGTGCGGCTCGCCCATCGCCCATGACCCGGACGCCGCCCCGGAGATCATCGCCATCAAGGCGGGCACGCTGGACACGGAGATCAAGAAGACGCTGAAGCCGGTATGTTCATGGCACCTATCATTGTTGGTTGGGTGGGTGGGTGGTGGTCTGACGTAAGCAGGACACGGAGATCTGGACGGTCAGCAAGCTGCCCTTCTGCCAGGAGCACTTGGCCAAGCCGTTCAAGCACATGCCGGAGTAATGGATCGGTGCATGACACCTGACGATGATGAGAAAAGTGAATAGCCTTGTTTACTTAATTTGATGAATGGATATGTCACTAGAATGGCCGGTGGTCTCGTTGTATTGTAGCTATGCCCGTCACAGCCAATGGTAGTTGTAGTAAGGAACAGGCACATCCTCCACAGCTCAGGTATGCTGACATTTCGAACGATAGTCATTATGCAACTGGCACAATTTTCCGCTGAAATCAGGCAGGCTGGCATCCCATCGCGAGAGTCACCCCAAACTCTCTAGATCAAGATGTTCGTGCACTCAGAACAACAGGTATCTCATCCATCCCGCACCACCACCAAGCTCATGCGGTAGCTCTATAACCTCACCGAATCAGCCTGCAACATCTCTACCTGCAACATGCCGAATCTACTCGCCAATCAAGACCGCAATCTTCCACAACTTCCTAAATTTTGTCTTCAGTCTGTCTCACCATCATGCGACCGCAAGCCACACCGCGTCAGCACGGCTGACCAATCCGTCTGATTTATCAGCCATCCGCAAAATTTAATCTAATCTAATCAGCTATATAGATAACCCTTACCAGCATCACCAACAACTGCCATTAATCAGATCATCAACCCCATCCTCACCTCCTAATCATTCTCATCACCCCGAAAAATGGTCCAATACCTCCTCACCGGCGTAACCGGCGGCCTGGGCGCGCACGTGCTCGAGTACTTCCTCGCGCACGTCGAGCCCTCGACCTACGCGGTCGCCTCCTCCAACCCCGCCAAAGCGGACGAATTCACGCGCCAGGGCCTCGCCTTCCGGGTCGTCAACTACGACGACCCGAGCACGCTGGACGCCGCCTTCCAGGAGGTGGAGAACCTGTTCTTCGTCAGCTCCAACACCTTCGACAACGAGCGGCGCCGGAGGCAGCATCAGGATGTGGTGGACGCCGCGAAGCGGGCGGGGGTGAAGCATGTAGAGTACCCCTCCTCTCTCCACCTGGCCTTCTCTTGGGGAGATACCACCCCCTCCGGCCCCCCAACCCACAACGAGGCACTAACACCAGGAAAATAGATATGGTACACCTCCCTCGCCTTCGGCGGCCACACCTCGACCTCGCAGGTCGCCGTCCAGCAGGCGCATTACATGACCGAGGAGATGCTGCGCGTGTATGCTCCCTATCCCTTGCCCATTGCCCGTTGCCCATTGCCCGTTGCCCATTGCCCCCTTGCCCCTTGTTATTTACCTAGCCCTATCCCAAACTCCGTCCACCACCCAGTCTAATGCAATCCAGCTCCGGAGTCCCCTACACCTCCATCCGCGAAGGCCTATACACCGAAGCCTTCCCCCTCTACTTCAACTGGTACCCCAGCACGCAAACCATCATCCTCCCCCAGCCCCCAACATTTACCACACAATCCGACCCGAATCCAGCAGAACTAGCCCACACCCAACGAATCACCTTCACCTCGCGCGAGGAACTCGGCCACGCCACCGCGCGCCTCCTCCTGCGGGGCGGGGCCGCCTACCGCGACCAGATCGTCGTGCTCAGTGCCAGGGAGACGCTGTCCTTCCAGCAGATTGTGGACCTGATCAATGCCCACCACTGCCAGGACGGTAAGGAAGTCGGGGTGGAGTTTGTTCCGGCCGCCGAATACGTGGCCCGGAATGCGGCGGATGATGAGGGCGGCAAGGCGGCGGGGTTCTTTGAGGCGATGGTCTCGTGGCATGAGGGCATTGCGAAGGGGGAGGCGGTGGTGGATTCGGATGGGTTGATGGCCGAGGTGTTGGGGAGGGAGCCGACGCGGGCGTCGGTCAGGATTGAGGAGTTGTTGAGGGGTGCCAGAGGGGAGGGGGGGCACGGCGGGGGGTATGTTTGGCATCAGAATTATGCGTAGGCTTTCTACTCTGTTCCGGTCATAGGGTTGGATAGGGGAGGCGGAGGTATTCAGGTGGTGAGGCTGTGATTAGGCAATATGTCTATTGCGCAGGGGTCTAGTCTGTCCACGTAATATACTGTACATGCAGATTAAATACCACCGACCGACCTCGAAGAAACTATACAACTGAACCCAGACTTTTGCCCAACCCAATCCAACCCAGAGATCCAAACCCATGCCAATCCATGCTATCCCATATAGTTACAAACACACAAGCAAAAATCAAGCCCTCGACCCCTCCCCAAGAACCTCCTCCTCCCCCCACTGCCCACTCTCCGTCCTCCCCCTCCGCATCCTCTCCCTCCTGACATCATGCTGCGGAAACCCCGTATGCCGCGTCTCATTCATCGTGACCACCCTCTCTCTGCCCCCTTCCCCCTCAACATCTTGCTCTTCCTTCTCAAACTCCACCTCCTCGTCGGCCCCGAACGTCGACTCGCGCATGAACGGACTCCGTCTCCGGATCTCCGGCCCCTTGAGGATCAGCACCACCGGCACAACCGACAACGCCAGCCCAATGAACCCCAACAACGACCCGGCCCACCCGAACCCCAAGGTCTCGAACAACTCATAGCTCGCCAGCGGCAAGAACGCGCCGAAGGTATTCCGCCCCAGACTGGCCGCACTCAGCGCCGAGGCCGCGTACTTCTCATACGCATCCGTCAGGTAATTCACCACGGCCATGTAGATCGAATAGATCCCCAGTCCCGCCGCCGCGATGCCGCACGTGGGCACGATCCAATGCACGAAGGGGAAGCTCGCCCACCCGTACCAGAACAGCCCGCCCGCGAACAGCAGGCTGCCGATCACAGAGGTATACAGCCGGGCTTCCGGGATGGGGCGGCCGGGGATCTCCTTGTTGCGCTTCGCCGACCTGAGGTACAACATGTCCTGGAGCGGGTTGATGGCGGTGCCGATCACGGCGCCCACCGAGATGGCCAGCTGGATGAGGCCCGTGGCCAGCGTGCCCCACCCGTAGTTGGTGGAGTAGGTCTGCACCACCGAGCTGAAGAACAGGTACAGAATGCCCCAGGCGAAGCTGATCCACAATGTAAAAAAGATGACGACCGGCTCGGTGAGCAGCATGCGCGTCGGCCGCTCGAAGGAGATCTGCAGCAGCCGCCACACGCTCGTGTTGTCCAGCTCCGCCTCCGCGTAGATCGGGCGCCCCGTCTCCTTGCGGAGCTTCTTGGCCCGCCGTTTGAGGATCACGTCCGCGCGGGTCTCGTGGAGGATGAACCAGAAGATCGGGAGGAGGCCGGTGAGGTAGATGATTTGGATGTAGAAGATCCATCGCCAAGGATCATCCTTGTGGATCTGCACGATCGCCGACCCGATGAACGGCCCCAGCGCAATGCCGATGACACTGGTCAGCCCGAACAGCGACATGGGCAGGCTGCGCGCCCGGTCCCCGTACCAGACGTCGCTGATACTGCCGCCCACGATGTTGATCGAGACCGAGGAGGCCCCGCCGCCGAAGAACCGCGTCACCACCAGCGTCGCGAAGTTCTGCGCGAACGCCGACGGGAACAGCGAGATGATCAGGATGATGTACGCCACGAAGTAGCCGGGCATCCGGCCGGAGGACTCGGTCAGCGGCACGAAAATCAGCGGCCAGAACGCGGCCCCCATATTCCACGAGCACGTCGCCCAGTACAGGTTGGGGAACGGGGTGTTCTGCACGTGGAAGCGCGACTCCATGTAGTCGTTGCCGGAGCCGTAGGAGCCGGCGGGGATACCGGTGAGGATGGAGCTGCGCAGGAGATTGTGTTAGGGTTGGTCTGAGTGGGAGGAAGGGCTATAAGGAGGGGGGGGGCTTACATGAAGCACACCGTGACTGTCAAAACCCATTTATACGCTGGACTCCAATTGAACCTATCCGCACCTGTCAGTCCGTCGCTTGTCCTTCGCCTATCCTGCACTCCCCCGATTGAACGTACGGATTGTCCGGATCATCCTTGCCATTCCAGGTGTGAATCTCCAGATCCTCCTTGTCGCGCAACTCATTGCGACTGACCACCCCGACATGGCGATCGCGATGGAAGAACGATCGCACCCTGTGACCTTCGATCAGTCCCCAATGCCCGGAGAATCCCACACGCTGTCAGACTTACCGCCCGAAAAACGAGTCATCGAAATCATTGGTATGCGCCGTACTGGCCCGCCGCATGGACGGGCGTCTATCCTCAGGAACAACACTAGCAGCACTCATAGTGAGGCAGCAGCAGCAGCAGCAACAGCAACAGCAAAGGCTAAATTCTACACGCAGTAGCAGAAATTTCTTCCTTTGTCCCTCCCCATTTTGTTATATACTTCCCACCCTTTCCCACAAATCGGACCCTGGTTCGGCAGCCCGGTGAAGGTCGGATGTCAAGGGATCGTTGTCGTCATGAACCTGCATCCGGGCCGAGTGGAGAATGCCGACCAATGCCGATAGAGCGGGCTTGTGTGCATTGATTATGAAATCCAGCACATGACAGAACAAAAGCCAGTAACGGAATTTCCTCCAAAAGAAAAGAAGTGAAAAAATGGGTGGACTGGGTCTGGTGGAAGTGGAAGTGGAGTTGGAACCAGACGTGCAATTCAGCCGGTTTGAGGGTTTGAGGGTTTTCAGGGTTAGTTGGGCGATGACATCATGGGAGGGGAAAAAGGCAGGAATCGATGACTTCATCCCCCGCTTTTCCCGCCAAGTTTGACCCTAAGCTGTTGCTTCCCCCTCTCTTTCTGTTTCGCTCTCTCGCTCTAGAACAGACACTAGGCCCTAGTGGACTCTGTGACATCGTATATGCAACATGCAGGTAAGCAGGTAAAGAAAAAAAAAAGTACCACGTACCACACGAGGGAGGGAGCAAGCTACGTACACGTACGTACGTACCTCTGCAGGGATCCATGCCCCTCCACTGCCCCTCCAACCCCTCACCCCTTCTCTCGTATTTATATCCCCTCCTTTTCCCCTGTTGCTCTTTTCCCAGAATCATTCAATCCAACTCTTCCAAACTCAATTCCATCCATCCATCCATCCAAACACACACTCTCTCACTTTCTTACCTAAATCAACCCAACCAACACCACCAAAATGCCCATCCCCGTCCCCAGCGCCAACAGCCTCCAGGACCTCTTCAGCCTCAAGGGCAAGGTCGTGATTATCACGGGCG